AAAAAATCCACGTTTATTGGTCCTTGAAAAAATATTCGTTAAAAAATCCACGTTTATTGGTCCTTGAAAAAATATTCTTTAAAAAATCCACGTTTATTGGTCCTTGAAAAAATATTCTTTAAAAAATCCACGTTTATTGGTCCTTGAAAAAAAATACTTTAAAAAATCCACGTTTATTGGTCCTTGAAAAAATATTCGTTAAAAAATCCACGTTTATTGGTCCTTGAAAAAATATTCTTTAAAAAATCCACGTTTATTGGTCCTTGAAAAAATATTCTTTAAAAAATCCACGTTTATTGGGTGTTGAAAAATATTCTTTAAAAAATCCACGTTTATCGGCTATTGAAAAAATATTTTTTTAAAAAATCCACGTTTATTAGGTATTGAAAAAATATTCTTTATAAAATCCACGTTTATTGGGTATTGAAAAAATATTCTTTAAAAAATCCACGTTTATTGGGTATTGAAAAAATATTCTTTAAAAAATCCACGTTTATTGGTCCTTAAAAAAATATTCTTAAAAAAAATCCACGTTTATTGGTCCTTAAAAAATATTCTCAAAACAAATCCACGTTTATTGGTCCTTAAAAAAATATTCTTAAAAAAATCCACGTTTATTGGGCATTGAAAAAATATTCTTAAAAAAATCCACGCTTATTGGGTATTGAAAAAATATTCTTTAAAAAATCCACGTTTATTGGGTATTGAAAAAATATTCTTTAAAAAATCCACGTTTATTGGGTATTGAAAAAATATTCTTTAAAAAATCCACGTTTATTGGGTATTGAAAAAATATTCTTTAAAAAATTCACGTTTATTGGGTATTGAAAAAATATTCTTTAAAAAATCCACGTTTATTGGGTATTGAAAAAATATTCTTTAAAAAATCCACGTTTATTGGGTATTGAAAAAATATTCTTTAAAAAATCCACGTTTATTGGGTATTGAAAAAATATTCTTTAAAAAATCCACGTTTATTGGTCCTTGAAAAAAATATTCTTTAAAAAATTCACGTTTATTGGGTATTGAAAAAATATTCTTTAAAAAATCCACGTTTATTGGGTATTGAAAAATTATTCTTTAAAAAATCCACGTTTATGGGGTATTGAAAATATATTCTTTAAAAAATCCACGTTTATTGGTCCTTGAAAAAAATATTCTTTAAAAAATCCAAAAAAATATTCTTTAAAAAATCCACGTTTACTGGTCCTTGAAAAAATATTTATTAAAAAATCCACATTTATTAGGTGTTGAAAAAATATTCTTTAAAATAATCCACAATTATTGGTCCTTGAAAAAATATTCTTTTAAAAAAACTACGTTTATTGGGTATTCAAAAAATATTCTTTAAAAAAATCCACGTTTATAGATTCTTGAAAAAATATTATTTAAAAAATTCACGTTTATTGGTGCCTGAAAAAATATTCTTTAAAAAAATCACCTCCTCTTAATTCTACTCCTAATTCCTTCCTTCATGTATTCAATTAAACATTTCTATTACCGTTCATTCTTCATTTTTCATTCAATATTTTTCTTCACATGAACTTCTTAAATTTCACATGAAATCCATTCACTTTGAATTATTTTCTGAATGGTCACGATGTTTTATGTGTGTGTTAAAAAAAAAATAATTAAAAATTTGATTGTATTCTGCTGATACATTTAACTGCTTAAGGCCATAATTTTATGCAACAACAAATACAACAGTCGCTTAATATCCATTTAATGGCGAATAAAAAGAGATCTATAAAAAAATTTGTGTGTAATCATCGCTTATGGCAAAAGAAAGCTGTCAGCCAGCCCCTATAATTGGGAATATGCATTGTAGTTCTGTACTTTTTGTAGATCATGGCCTGATGTGTTTCAATAATATTCTTAATTGTCAACACTTTATTACAAAAGTCATGTTGGCTGTTGGTGGGAACGGGTAGGGTGGGCAATTAATCAAAAAGGGTTAATTTTTATTAAGAACACAATTCCCATGTACTTATTAACATGCACACATATATACACATGTGTGTATTTGTGCGTATGTATGCCAAGCCAATGCGAGACCTTAAGCCTTCTTTACTGCAATTTCAACTCATTTTGGGAGTTGAATAATGTTGATGATGATGGTGTTGGCGATGCGAATGGATGCATCATTCATTCAACAGCAGCCGGCAGGCGGTATTTTGCATTATTCCTCCAATTTGTCGATAATGAAAATAAGTTCACGCTTATCATGACTCTTTGGGATGTAAATCAAGCAAGCAGGCCGACTGGCCGGCTGGATGACTGGCAGTCAGTCAAGGCAAATATCTGTACATGAATGAAATGAGCTCTGCGGAATGAATTAAATCCATGGCGTTATGCGGTGGATTGTTACATTCAAATGGGGATTACTGGAAAAAAAGAGAAACGTTTTGTTTGGGGTTTATCGATTTAATTTTTTTTTTTCACAGAATGTGAAAAGAACTGGAGAGGCCTCCAACGTTGATTTTTAAGTTCTGTCCAAAGGTCTTAAATGTGGATTTTTTAAAGATTTTTCCAAAGGTCTTAAATGTGGATTTTTAAAGATTTTTCTCAAGGCCTTAAACGTGGGTTTTTTAAAGATTTTCCAAAGGCCTTAAACCTGGATTTTTGTAAAGATTTTTCCAAAGGCCTTAAACGTGGATTTTTTAAAGATCTTTCCAAAGGCGTTAAGCGTGGATTTTTTAAAGATTTTTTCAAAGGCCTTAAACCTGGATTTTTTAAAGATTTTTCCAAAGGCCTTAAACGTGGATTTTTTAAAGATTATTCCAATGGCTTAAACCTGGTTTTTTTAAAGATTTTTCCAAAGGCCTTAAACGTGGAATTTTTAAAGATCTTTCAGAACCCTCAAATGTGGATTTTTTTAAATATCTTTCAGAATCCTCAACGTGGATTTTTTAAAGATTTTTTCAAAGGCCTTAAACCTGGATTTTTTAAAGATTTTTCCAAAGGCCTTAAACGTGGATTTTTTAAAGATTTTTCCAAAGGCCTTTAATGTGGATTTTTTTTAAGATTTTTCCAAAGGCCTTAAACGTGGATTTTTTAAAGATTTTTCCAAAGGCCTTAAACGCGGATATTTTTTAAAGAATTTTTTCAAAGGCCCTTAACTTGGATATTTTTTAAGGAATTTTTTCAAAGGCCTTAAACGTGGGTTTTTTAAAGATTTTTCCAAAGGCCTTAAACGTGGATTTTTTAAAGATTTTTCCAAATGCCTTAAACGTGGATGTTTTAAAGATTTTTCCAAAGACCTTAAACGTGGATTTTTTTAAAGATTCTTCCAAAGGCCTTAAACGTGGATTTTTTTAAAGACCACAAATGTGGAGTTTTTAAGGATTTTGTAGGCCACAAAAGTGGATTTCTTAAAGGCTTTGTAGAGATTAAAAATTAAAGATCTTTCAGAACCCTCAAACGTGGATTTCTTTTAAAGATCTTTCAGAACCCTCACACGTGGATTTTTTAAAGATCTTTCAAAAACCTCAAACGTGGATTTTTTTAAAGATCTTTCAGAACCCTCAAACGTGGATTTTTTTAAAGATCTTTCAGAACCCTCAAATGTAGATTTTTTTTAAAGATCTTTCAGAACACTCAAACGTGGATTTTTCAAAGATCTTTCAGAACCCTCAAACGTGGATTTTTTTAAAGATCTTTCAGAACCCTCAAACGTGGATTTTTTAAAGATCTTTCAGAACCCTCAAACGTGGATTTTTTAAAGATCTCTCAGAACCCTCAAACGTGGATTTTTTTAAAGATCTTTCAGAACCCTCAAACGTGGATTTTTTTAAAGATCTTTCAGAACCCTCAAACGTGGATTTTTTTAAGATCTCTCAGAACCCCCAAACGTGGATTTTTTTAAAGATCTTTCAGAACCCTCAAACGTGGATTTTTTTTAAGATCTTTCAGAACCCCCAAACGTGGATTTTTTTTAAAGATCTTTCAGAACCCTCAAACGTGGATTTTTTTAAGATCTCTCAGAACCCCCAAACGTGGATTTTTTTAAAGATCTTTCAGAACCCTCAAACGTGGATTTTTTTTAAGATCTTTCAGAACCCCCAAACGTGGATTTTTTTTAAAGATCTTTCAGAACCCTCAAACGTGGATTTTTTAAAGATCTGTGAAAGTCTATTAAGTGGCGCCCAACGCACCCTACGTAGATTTTTTACAGATCTGTGAAAGTCTTTTAAATGGCACCAAACGTGGAATTTTACAGATCTGTGAGTTTTTTAAATGGCGCCCAAAGTGGATTTTTGCAGATCTATAAAGTCTTTTAAAGGTCACCCAACGTGGATTTTTAAAGGTTTTCTGAAGCCTAAAACGTGAATTTTCTTAAAAAATTATCACAGGTCTCAAACATGGACCTTGTAAAGACTTTTCAGAGGTCTCAAATATGGATTTTTAAGATTTCTCAGATTTTTTTAACATAGATTTTTTAAAGATTTCTGAAATTCTTTTAAAGGGCTCCAAACGCGGATTTAAAAGTCTTTTAGAAGGACATCAAGTGTGATTTTTTTAATTTTTCGGAGGTCTCAATCGTGGACTTTTCAAAGATTTTTTTAATTTGGACTTTTTTAATATTTTTTAAAGGCTTCAAGCATGGATTTTTAAACGATTTTTCAGAGACCTCAAACGTGGATTGTTTTACAGAGTTTTTAAAAGGTTCCAACGCTGAAGTTTTTTTTATATTTTTAAAGGATACCAAACGTCGATTTTTTTCGTTTTAAAGAACACCAAAGTGGATTCTTTAATGATTTTTCAGGGACCGCAGATCTTATATTGGTTAAAGAATAAAAAATCCTGATTTTTAAGATTTCATATTTTTATATATTTCATAATATTTTCGAATATTAAACACTTATTTTCATGTCAATTAAAACCTAACATAAAAATTTCACAATATCGATCGATGTGAAGCTATGCAGGGGAGATACAAAAGCGATAAATCAGGTGCTTATCATGACGACTCACAAGGGGGTCTGTCTGCGTGGTTGCAAAACCGGTATGCTTAACAACCAAAAAAATTCTGATAAGAAATATTGAGTCAAAACATTAATATTTAAACAGTAGCCAAGTAGTCATCAAATCGCTGTGTTCCGAACCGGTAAACTTTTATTTGTAAACAAAATCGGAGAATAACGAAAATAAAAACCATGTTCTTATATTTGGCTATATTCGTGTTAACATTTCTCTATGTGACGATAACACGTCACTATAATCAATGGCAACGTCACGGTATACCGGCCGCCGAATCGGTTATACCTTTTGGTTCCCTAGGTGCGTTATTTCGTAAAGAAAAAACAATGGGCCTGGCTATTACCGATATTTATGAAAGATTTTCGGATAAAATTGTTGGCATTATGTTGGCCTTTAAGCCGGCCATTCTTGTGCGTGATGCCGAACTGGCCCGACAAATGTTGACCAAAGATTTTGATAGCTTCCATGATCGTGGAGTTTATGTGGATGAGAAAAAGGATCCGCTGTCGGCCAATTTGTTTAGTCTTAAAGGTCAGTCGTGGCATAATATGAGAACCAAGCTATCGCCCTCGTTTTCAAGTGGAAAACTGAAGGCTATGTTTGAGACTGTCGATGGAGTAGGCAACAAAATGATCGAACATATTTTGCAGCAGTTTGAAGGGGGTCGCGAGAAGGTGTCATTGGATATTAAAGATATAACAACAACGTAAGTTTGAACAAAAGGAAAATCAAGAATATTTTTTAAATTTTCCTTTTTTTGTTCTAGCTATGCCATTGATATAATCGGATCTGTGATATTTGGCCTGGACATCAACAGCTTCAAGAATCCCAATAACGAATTTCGTCTCATAAGCGATCGAATTTTCAAAACCAATAACACCCACGTTATACATCGTATACGGAATGTTATGAACTTTATGTGCCCACCGTAAGTAGAGATTTTGAAAGAAAAGTATTAGAGCAGACGAGGGTTCTATAGACATAGACTATTTCACAGAAACCGTGGATATTAGACCTTACAAAGGGACTTCAAAAGATAAAGAAAAGTCCTCTTCGAAAACCATAATAAAGGCCTGCCTAAGATGACCTTCAAAGGTGTTCTCTAGAAGAACTTCAGAGGTATTCTCAAGACATTAAATAGTTTGTTTCTTCTATCGCCGTACGACATTCTATATGCCTTCAATGAAAGACTTCGTAAAGCACTCTGTAGAAATTTTTTGAAAAGTCTTCTTTGGAAGAACTTCGAAAGACCCTCTCTAGAAGATCTTCAAAGATGTTTTTAGAAGACCATTAAAATACCTTATTCTAAAAAATTTCCAAATATCTTCTCAAGTATATCTTCAAAACATCATCTTTGGAAGATCATTACATAACCTATAAATAATATAGATCTATGAAAAACTTTTCCCTAGAAGTCCTCTCCTTTCAAACAGGTTCTAGGTCAGTCTTTTAAAGGGTCAACTTAATATCTGGATCCTTTAAAAAAATTCATAAAATTCAAGCTTGAAGCCTCTAAAAATCTTCAATCCCCATTTGAGGCGCATGAAAAATCTTTAAAAATATATCTTTAAAGACTTTTCAAAATCGTCAAAAAAATCCTGTTTGTGCCCTCCGAAAAATCCTAAAAAAAACGTTTTTTAAAAATGCATGTCTTTTCCAAATCTTAAAAGACATTATTGAAGCCTTTGAAGTTTTAAGACTTTGAAAAGTTTTAATAAATCCACGTTTGAGGTCTCTGAAAAATCTTTGATAAATCCACGTTTGAGGTCTCTGAAAAATCTTTGATAAATCCACGTTTGAGGTCTCTGAAAAATCTTTGATAAATCCACGTTTGAGGTCTCTGAAAAATCTTTGATAAATCCACGTTTGAGGTCTCTGAAAAATCTTTGATAAATCCACGTTTGAGGTCTCTGAAAAATCTTTGATAAATCCACGTTTGAGGTCTCTGAAAAATCTTTGATAAATCCACGTTTGAGGTCTCTGAAAAATCTTTGATAAATCCACGTTTGAGGTCTCTGAAAAATCTTTGATAAATCCACGTTTGAGGTCTCTGAAAAATCTTTGATAAATCCACGTTTGAGGTCTCTGAAAAATCTTTAAAAAATCCACGTTTGAGGACTTTAAAAAAATCTTTAAAAAATCCACGTTTGAGGACTTTGAAAAAATCTTTAAATATTCACATTTAAGGCCTTTGAAAAATCGTTAAAAAGTCCAAGTCTAAGGCCTTTGAAAAAATCTTAAAAAGCCAAATCTAAGGCCTTTGAAAAAATCTTTAAATAAATCTAAAAAAAAAACACTTTTGAGGCCTTTCAAAAAATCTAAAAAAAAACTTTTGAGGCCTTTGAAAAAAAAAATTAAAAATCCAGGCCTTTGAAAAAATCTAAAAAAAAACTTTTGAGGCCTTTGAAAAAAAAAATAAAAATCCACGTTTGAGGCCTTTGAAAAATTCTTTAAAAAATCCACGTTTGAGGCCTTTGAAAAATTCTTTAAAAAATCCACGTTTAAGGTCTTTGAAAAAATCTTTTAAAAATCCACGTTTGAAGCCTTTGAAAATATCTTTACAAAATCCACATTTGAGGTCTTTGAAAAAATCATTCAAAAAAAATCCACATTTGAGGCCTTTGAAAAAATCTTTAAAAAATCCACGTTTAAGGCCTTTTAAAAAATCATTCAAAAAAAATCCACCTTTGAGGCCTTTGAAAAAATCTTTAAAAAATCCACGTCTAAGGCCTTTGAAAAAATCTTTAAAAATCCACCTTTGAGGCCTTTGAAAAAATCTTTAAGAAATCCACGTCTAAGGCCTTTGAAAAAATCTTTAAAAATCCACCATTGAGGCCTTTGAAAAAATCTTTAAAAAAATCCACGTTTGAGGCTCTTGAGAAAATCTTTACAAAATCCACGTTTGAGGTCTTTAAAAAAATCTTTAAAAATCGTAAAGAGGAATTTGAGGCCTTTAAAAAAATTTTTAAAAAATTGTGAAAAGGAATTTGAGGCCTTTGAAAAAATCTTTAAAAAATATTGAAAAGGAATTTGAGGCCTTTTGAAAAAATAATTAAAAAAATCACGTTTGAGGCCTTTTGAAAAAATAATTAAAAAATCTACGTTTAAAGCCTTTTCAAAAGCTTTTCAAAAAATCCACATTTGATGCCTCTGAAAAATCCTTAAAAAATCCACATTTGATACCTCTGATAAGTCTTTAAAAAATCCACATTTGATACCTCTGATAAGTCTTTAAAAAATCCACGTTTGAGGCCTTTGAAAAAATCTTTAAAAAATCTACGTTTGAAGCCTTTGAAAAATCTTTAAAAAATCCGCGTTTGAGGCCTTTGAAAAATCTTTAAAAATCGACATTTAAGGCCTTTGAAAAATTCGTTAAAAAGTCCACGTCTAAGAAATAAAAAACCCGCATTAAAAAGCTTTGAAAAATCTTTAAAAAATCCACGTTTGAGTCCTCGGAAAATATTTCAAAAATTCACATTTGTGACCCCAAAAAAATGGACGTTTAAGGCCTTTGAAAAAATTTAAAAAAAATCCACTTTTGAGGCCTTTGGAAAATATTTAAAAATTTCACCACAACTTCTGTTCAAAATTTTAAAAACTTCATTTTAAAAGCCTTTTCAAAACTTCAAAAGCATTTAAAAATCCACGTTTAAAGCCTTTCTGAAATCTATAAAAATTCCACGCTTAATGTCTGTATAAAATAATTAAAAAATCCACGTTTGGGGACTCTGAAATCCACATTTATTTAAAAAATTTAAAAAAATTTTATTTATTTAAAAAATCCACATTTAAGGTCTTTGAATAAATCTTAAAAAAAAATCCGTATTTGAATCCTTTTCAAAATCTTAAAAAAGTCCACGTTTGAGGGTCGTTGAATAAATCTTTAAAAAGTCCACGTTTGAGGCCGCTGAAAATCCACATTTGAGATCGTTAAATAAATATTTAAAAAAATCCCGGTTTGAATCCTCTTCAAAATCTTAAAAAAGTCCACGTTTGAGGCGTCTGCAAAATCGTTTAAAAATCCACGTTTTAGGGTCTAAAAATCTTTAAAAAATCCTCTTCTGAAAAAGTATTTAAAAACTCCTCAATTGATGCCTTTAAAATCCAAGTTTGCATAACTGGTCCATCATATATTCCATGAATCGTATCACCCCCTTTCCTCATTTCGTTCCAGCATTGCCCGATTCCTGGCACTTTTCGGCACCTTGGACCCCATTACGGCAGACCTAAGAGAAATTGTCAAACGTACTATTGAATATCGCGAAGAACATGGCGTGGTTCGTAAGGATCTCTTACAGCTATTGTTGCAGCTAAGAAATTCCGGTCAAATCAGCGAAGATGATAACGCTGCCACATGGCGTGTTGAAACTGTTGCAGAAAATCTAAAATCTTTGTCCATTGATACAATAACGGGAAATTTACTTCTATTCTATATTGCCGGTTCAGAGACCACCTCGTCGACCATTGCCTACACCCTCTACGAGTTGGCAATGTATCCGGAGATATTGCAGCGTGCTCAAATGGAAGTCCTTGAGTGTTTGGCAAAACATAATCTTAAGCCTTCGGATCATTTGACGTATGATATTTTGCAGGATTTACACTATATGGATTTGTGTATAAACGGTAAAGGGACAAATAAATTTTCACAAGGTATACTTTTTGTTAAATTAGTTTATGTTCTAGAAACTGCTCGCAAATATCCTGGCCTACCCGTTTGGAATCGTGAATGCACCAAAGATTATCATTTAGCTGATAATGACTTTGTCATTAAGAAGGGTACCGCCATAATTATACCTATAATGGGTATTGGTAGAGATGAGAAATACTTCCCCCAGCCCATGGATTATAAGCCTGAACGTTATTCTGAGGATAAGGAGGAAAATAATTTAGTTGCCTTTATGCCATTCGGTGATGGTCCCAGATATTGTATTGGTAAGTCAAATTCTCTGGTACTTTGTATAAGGACCCACAATATAAAAAATATACTGCAATCCTTTGTATTTAACAAAATCTCAATGAGGCTACCAAAATTTTGATTTTCAAAGTCAAAGGTGGTCAGTGTAATTTTCTGGAGTCCCAAATATGTTAACTTTGGTTAACATATAAGCTCTGTTCCAGAACCTGCAAGAATCTACTAGTTTTGCATTTTTTTTTTTTTTCAATTGAAAAATAGAAAATTCGGTTATTTTGGTGACATTGTTTACATTCCCAATATATTTTTTTAAATTATTTATTTTTATTTTTTTTTTTTGTTCCTCTCTTTTCAGCTAAGCGAATGGGCGTAATAAATGTCAAAGCTGCCCTGGTAAAAATTTTGGCAAATTTCAATATTGAAATACAGCCACGCAAGGAGGTGGAGTTTAAATTTCACTCAACACCCGTTTTAATGCCTAAGGAAAGCTTGAAAATTACACTAATAAAACGATGTTGAAAAATTGTTCTGAAAAAACTGAATTGAAAGGAAAATTCAAGCATAAAATTAAAAAAAGTGCACAGTTTTAGTAAACAATAAAAAATGCGATATTTAAAAAAATAAAGATTCAGACTGTTCTGCTTTCATATCAAAAAAATTTCCTATTTGAAGTTCGGAATCGGTACTACAGCCTATGACAAAAATATATGTCCTCGTCTTCGTATAGTCCCCATACAACGGTTTTCATTAAATGGTATTTTTCGACGGATTTTTTTTTTTTAAATTTCAAGATCCTTCAAAATGGTGGAGGACATTAAAAGTTAGGACCGGCAGAACTTAACTGCTTTTTTATTTGTTACGATTGTTTTCGTATGACATGATAAGAATATTTTGAGGACTTTTTAAAAAATTTAAAATTTTGAGAAAAATTTCAGAAGGACAATTGGAGCTATACAAGGTGAGATAAAAAAACTGCAACAAAGTCAAATGCCTTAATTTTTACATTTTTTTTTAATTTTATTGGACGAAAGCAAAAAATTTCGGAAATAGCATCAGATTTTAGAATAAGTTTAGATTTGTTCGAATTGGTCACCTTTGTCACGAATTATGGCCTTCAAACGGCCAATGAAACCGTCACACGCTGCCCGAATGTTGCTCTGCGGTATTTTTGGCCCATTCCCGGCGAATCGCTTGCTTGAGGTGATCGACACTTTGGAAATTTTTTAGTGAATCCTTTCTTTCCAAAATACTTCAGACACTATAGTCCAACGGATTGGTATCCGTAGATTTTTGGTGGCCATTGTGCGCTGGAAATGAAGCGAGGAACCTAATTTTGAAACCATTCATGGGTGGCGCGTGCTAAGTGCGATGGTTCTGAATCCTCTTGAAATGTCTAAGCTCTGCGGCCAAAATGCTTGCGTGCCCAAGGCTTTAGTACACCCTCCAGAATATTTTCGCGATAATATTCGGCATTTATTCTGATGCCACTGTTGATTAATACGAGCGGAGAGCGACCTTCGGCTGTTATGGCAGCCCACAACATCACCATGGCCATGGCCGGCGCTTGAGTTCTGGTGGCCAACCGAAGGTGCAAATTTTCAGCTGACCTCTTTGGCAAGCGCCGATCACACGATCATTTTGTTTGTTTAATTTCATCGGAGAAACCCAAATTCGGCAGTTCACCACTTTCGGCCAAGCGAAGCAACTCTTTTGCTCTTTTGAATCTATTTTCTTTCTCTTGCGGTGTAAATTCTTGCTCTTTGCACCTTATGGAATTTCAAGGGCTTTACCCCGAGCTCATTTTTCACTATTTGCCGAATGGAATATTGCGATATGTTCAGCTCACGAGCCATTTTTCGGCCACTGCGACGCGGGTTTCGATCAAGCAATTTCTTTACTTCTCGAACCATTTCTGCCGATGTTGCTGTTTTCTTCCGTCCACTTCCTTGACGTCGGGCTACGCTACCAGTATCACGGTAACGAGCGATGGTACGAGACACAAAAGATGTGGTCACATTTAAATGCTGGAGCGCTCTAACGATAGCCACTTGCGGTTTTTTCAGCCAAACATAAAGAAATCATACTATCACGCTTGAATTCCATCAGGAATAACTATTTTTCTGGAAAATTCTCACCAAAATGCTTTTGTACGCTTGTAAACAATATAATGAGCTATCAATGGAATAATTTTAACAGCTGTCGGACAAGTGGCTTAGAAATGACAGCAGTCTGAAGTTGTTTGCGGTTTTTTCATCTCACCCTGTATTAGCTTTGTCATTCCGTTTGTAACTCCTCGAAATATTCATGATAGACCCTACAAAGTTTGTTTATTCTGGATCAGCATAATATTCTTAGACGATTTAGCGAGGTCCGTCTATCTGTGTGTCCGTCCGCCTGTCTGTCTTTATCACGCTATCTTTCGAAAGAATTGAGATAGAGGGCTAAACTTTGGCATACATGCATATTTTCTTAGTAGGCAGGTTTAGTTCGTAAATGGGCTATGTCGGTCCATGTTTTCATATAGCCCCCATATAACGGTATTTCCGGATATTCGACATTTTCATGATTTTAGCGATATCTTCCAGCCGAATTGTTTCAAATTTCCTATTTGAAGTTTGTAATCGCTATTACAGCCTATGACGATACCTCCCAATATTCGATATTTTGATGATTTCAGATATTCACCGGAATTGTTACAAATTTCGTATTTATAGTTCGTAATGGGTAATACAGCTTATAACAAAAAATTTCGTATTCAGGTTCAGGTTCTCATATAGCCCCCATGTAACGGTACCGCCAAATATTCAATATTTTTATGATTTTAACGACATTATTCGCTGGAATTGTTTAAAATTTCGTATTTAAAGTTCGTAGTGGGTGCTATAGCCTATTACAAAAAAATTCGTATGCAGGTCCACGTCTTCGTATAGTCCCCATATAACGGTTTTAATTTAAGTGGTAATTTTCGGTGATTTTTTTTTTTTTTTTTTTTTGAAAATGTTTCCTTCCAAATAGTGGAGGGTATTAAAAGTTCGGCCCGACCGAGTTTTGCTGCTTTTTCACCTGTTTTTTATATTTTGTCCGGTTTTATGGTTTTCACTGAAAGCTCTGCGGCCATCCTTAAATAAAAATTATTGAATTTGTTGTTACATTTATTTTATTTCGCATGTTAATCGACAATAATCCTCTCGTATATCTTCCTTTCAACTTATTCCAATTCTCTGGTTTCCACCAAATCTTTTGGACTTTTAAATAAAAACATTTCAATAAACTCATCGTATAGCTTATCCTTTTCGGTCAAATTTTTCTCATTCGAAATTTCATCGAGCAACTCCAACATTTCCTCCTGCCGTTCGACAACATCTTCCGACAGATTATCCCAGAGCCGCTGCGATGCCCGCTGGAATTCTTGCATAAATCTCAAATAAATACTATCAAATTGAGTTGTATTCCTGCCGTTGTAGTAGAATTCCGGCGAAATGACTTCAAATTGGAATTTCTTGCTGTCGGGAGCTAAACGCTGGCGTAATTGTTCCAATTTCCAATTGTTGATGCGAAAGTGTCGAAGTAGCTTGCGTTTGTCGCTGTAACTCGTGTTCGAGGCTGTGGTGTTGGCCAACACATGTTCCACCATTTCCACATAATTGGCCATAAGTGGTTGCATTGCCCGTTTCAGTTCAGGTGTCATAGCCCCATTCGCCAAATGCTGATAGATGGTAATGGTTGCTCGCAGAGCTTCATCTTCGGTGGACATGACCAAATGTTCAACATCGTTTATGAATTCCCTAAAATGCACATCTTCTGCAGCAGCAGCGCATGGTGTTACGAAAACCTATAAAACCATATAAAGGTAGGAGGAAAAAGAGAACAACACCATCGCACCGATTTGGTTAGAAGTTATTTTGTTTTTCTTGTTGCACACTTACTTGCCACAGCCACAGCCACATCAGAATAAGCCATTTATGTTGCAGCTTCACTTTCCACATGGCACGAGCATCAGCATCACTTGGCATTGTTTGTCCGCTGCAAAAACAAAAAAGTTCTTTGCCAACTTTGTTGACTCTGTGACTCTCGTGTTTTGTGTCGTTGATGTTGTGGTTGTTACTCCGGATGTTCTTTGTCCAAACGAGTCGGATTCTATTTTGTTCTTTGGCCTTCCTTACAAGACAGTGTTTTGTTCTAAGTTCCACCGATGTTGAATGGCAACTAAATGCATGTTTGCCATTTGCACAGCATTTGTGTTGGCCATCCTATCCTGTCAGCTGCAATTTGTTGCAGGTTAAGCGAAAATTACTTCAGTCAACAACTAAGAACAACAACAGCTACATTGCTTGGTGTTGTTGTTGAATGGAGAAAAAAAACAAAAACAAAAAAGCAAACCTTTCCATCAGGTTCTTGCAAAAGTTCGCTTCAAAGTAAATTTTTGCTCCTGAACGCAGATGGGTATAAATGTCGGAAATTTCGTCTTGCCATGGCTAAGTAAAAATTGTGACACCTCACTTCGTGGGTTTGAGGGAAAAGGAATGTTCTTACCCTTATCCATGTGTTTGCAGAGAGGATATACCTTTTGATACGGTCAAAACGTGCCTCATCGAAATAATGGTTTTAGAACCTCTTTGGGCGAAATCAGTTTCAGAGCATTTAGAGTCGATCTAGCGGTGTCCGTCCCTCTATCTTGCTAATGTTTCCAAAACTTTCGAAGAAGTATTTGATTACGTAAAATGTTGGCATATTCTAATAGTATTCAAATTTAAATAGAGTTCGAAGATCACCAAATGGTGCTCTCCTTCCAGTACCTTCTCCTTAAATATCAAATTTTTAATTGAAAATAATTTTCCTCAGAGAATAAAAAAGGGCCATATGATTTAATTTAAACTTTGCAAATCCTAATATTTTATAAGTGTCAGGGGCGATTATGGACAATACTGGTCCATTCCGGCGCCACAAAGGGCTAAAATTTTGAATAGTCATAGCTCTTATAAAATGTGAAATAAGAATCTGATTGGCTTGGCACATCCCAATATTTCTACCAAATCTGGTTATTGTAAGATGATGGTCTAGAAAGGGTCACTCCTTATGGTACCCCCCATCAGTTTTATTTTTCCCACAAATGGACCAAATTTCGTTTAGATATCATTCTCAAAAAATTCGGAATAATCCACCGTAATTTCTTTCAGCTTCGCACATTGCTATATTTTTAACATCTTCAGATCCAGTGTGAATATAGGATCATTCCCTCTGGAACCTTTCACACAAAGGTCAATATTTTGAATATATTTGGTTAAAATAAAACCAGGAATTTGCTTCAAAATTCGGAATTTACAATATCCGACAACATTAGATTTAGGGTAAGGATGGGGTGTATAGGTCCAAACTTTATAGTGCATCCCAAAAAAAAAAAAAAATAAATGGTCAAATGCTATTCTATACTATACTACATTATACTATACTATACTATACTATACTATACTATACTATACTATACTATACTATACTATACTATACTATACTATACTATACTATACTATACTATACTATACTATACTATACTATACTATACTATACTATACTATACTATACTATACTATACTATACTATACTATACTATACCATACTATACTATACTACACTCGTACAAATATAGGACATTTCCAAACCACTGCCTAATTTCAAACACAGATTCCATCAGTAATCTAAAAATCAAATTCCAGAATTTCATCTTTATTCCTCCACCCAAAACCTGATATACAGGGTGAGATAAAAAAACTGCAAAAAAGTCAAACGCCATAATTTTACATTCATTTTAAATTTTATTGAATGAAAGCAAAAATGTCGGAAATAGCATCAAATGTTAGAATAAGTTTAGATTTGTTCTAATTGGTCACCTTTGACACGAATTATGGCCTTCACACGGCCAATGAAACCATCACACGCTGCCCGAATGTTGCTCTGCGGTTTTTTGGTCCATTCCCAGCGAAGCGCTTGCTTAAGGTGATTGACACTTTGGTATTAAATGCCAACCTTGCTTTCCAAAATACTCCAGAAACAATAATCCAACGGGTTGGTATCCGGACATTTTGGTGGCCATTGTGCGGAAATGGAAATGAAGCGAGGAACCTCAACTTGTAACTATTCTTGGGTGAGGCGTGATGAGTGCGATTGTCCTGAGTCCTGTTGGAACGTCCAAGGTCTGCAGACAAAATGTTTGCGTGTCCTAGGCTTTAATACACCCTCCATAATATTTTCGCGATAATATTCGGCATTTATACTGATCAATACGAGCGACCATCGGTTGATATGGCGGCCCACACCATCATCATGACCGGCGCTTGAGTTCTGGTGGCCAAACGAAGGTGCAAATTTTCAGCTGACCTCGTTGGCAAACGCCGATCACACGATCATTTTGTTTGCTTATAAACTGCTGGACAATGAATGTTTTCTTATCGGAAATGGAGAAAACCCAAATTCGACAGTTCACCACTTTCGGCCAAGCGTAGCAACTACTTAGCTCTTTTGAGTCTATTTTCTTTCTATGGCGGTGTAAGTTCTTGCACTTTTTGGAATTTCAATGGCTTTATCCCGAGCTTATTTTTCAATATTTGCCGAATGAAATATTGTGATATGTTCAGCTCAAGAGCCATTTTTCGGGCACTGGGACGCGGGTTTCGATCAAGTCGCTTCTTTACTTTTCGAACCATTTCTGCTGATGTTGCTGTTTTCTTCCGTCTACTTCCTTGACGTCGGGCTACGCTACCAGTATTACGCTACCAGTAACGAGCGATGGTACGAGACACAAAATATTTATTCACATTTAAATGCTGACGATAGCCACTTGTGGTTTTCCAGCCAAATATAAAGAAATCACATTATCTCGCTTGAAGTCCATCACGAATAACTTTTTTTCTGAAAAATTCTCACCAAAATGGTTTTGTACGCTTGTAAACGATATAATGAGCTGTCACTAGAATAATTTGAACAGCTGTCGGAGGAGTGGTTTAGAAATGACAGCAGTCTGAATGTAGTTGCAGTTTTTTCATCTCACCTTGTATTACTATTTACCGTACTATACAATTATAGCACACATGTCCGAAACAACCTCCATATGTACACGTGACACATGAACAATGACCCTAATACCAAATTTCAGATTTCAAGCACTAACTGTTCACCCAACATCAAATTGTACCGAATATAGTACTATTTAGTACTTTTCGTGCACTTGTAGTACGCATTTCCAAAACCTACCAAAAAAAGCTTCATCCGTTTACCCTAAACCGAACTGTTCCAAATTTAACGCCACTTAGTACAGATCGCACATTAAGTACACATTTCCAAAACCAACTTCATATACCAAACAAACTCCCCAAATTTGGTTCTCATACCAAAATGTTGTACAATGTTAAAAGTTTAGTATCATTTCGGAAATTTTCTTAGCCGTAATATTCGAATTTCCAAAAAAAAAAAGAAAAACGTTTAATTCATCTAACCTGCCGTCCATCAGTAACTCTCATTCTAAATTTCAGAATTAAAGCTTCAATTTTTAATAAATTGTAGTACTTTTCGTACTCTTTTAGTACGAATTTCCAGGCTTATTACAAGCCTACGCACTGCGACTGGTCCTCGTGCAAAATTTTAAGGTTCTAGCGTCAGTCGTTTCGCGTCGCCGTTGATTCTCTGTCAGTCAGTCAGTGCACTTTTATATATTTAGTTAATGCCTAAGACCGCTTTCCTGTGGATCGAACATGTAATACAGAAAGGTATGGGTAAGTACACATTTAAATAATTAAATCGAAGTTAAATTTTGTCGCACCAATATTCTGCATTTTTTTCCTTATCGATGTCGAGGGGTTGAACATTTTATGTGAAGGTTCAAATGTTTCGGAGTGACGCCCAATTTGGCTAAAAGTTTATATTGAGGCTACTCTGAGGGTAGAGAAATATCTTACAATTACCTCCACTTAAAATTTCTCAAGCTCCAGATAATATTTGTTGGAGATGCACTTAGAAGTCGACAAAAAGTTTAGACGTCTATTTATACCCTACACCACAAGGTGGTCAGGGTATTATGTCTTTGTGCATTTGTTTGTAACAGGAAAAAGGAAAAGAGATAGACCCATAGTTCCTTTTGATGATCTGCATAGAATCACTTTCTGAGTGGATTTATGCATGTCAGTCCGTCCATCCGTCCGTCTGTCCATGTATTTTTGTAAACAAAGTACAGTTCGCATTTATTGCCCTATCCAGATGAAGTTTTGCACTAATCATTTGTTTGGCCCAAGGACGAAACCTATTAAAATTGGAGATAATCGGTCAAAATTTAGATATAGCTCCCATATATATCTTCGTCCGATTTGCCTTTTATTGTGTACCAAACGTGTAATATCAGCCCGAATAGTATGGAAGTCTGCACGTACGATCAGAATGGACCTGAAAATAAGTATGCCAAATTTGATCGAAATCGGTTCAGATATAGCTATAGCTCCCATATATATTGTTCATCCGATTCGTTATTTTTGTCCTCCGCAGTCGTAATATGCACTCTGTAACAACATTATTTGGGGAAATATAACAAATACAGCTCAGAAATACATTTGCTAAATTTTATCGAGAATGGTTCAGATTTGGATATAGCTCCCATATATAACTTCGTTTCGATTTACCTTTTATTCTATTCATTTTTATGTACCCTTCTTCACCTACTTTGAACAATTGAGTCCTATCTTCAATTGTAGTATTGACTCCCATCGCTCTAGTACCAAAAACAATAAAAACCGACTCTTTTGAACTTTTTCCAACCACATTCGCACAATTAAGACCGTATTTGTGTCACTTGTAAACAAAAGTTTAACACTCGTATTGTTATCATTATTTACTACAAGGATTTATTTATATCCTTTCAATAAATGTTGATGAAGGCAATACGTTCTGCTTTTCTTTTTTTGCTTTGCAGTTTTTGCTACTGTTTTGCTTGAATTGAACCGAAATCATCCAATTTCTCATTCATACTTCCTTGTTGGATTCAGCTCTTTGACTGACATAACCCAATTTTCCTGCCACATCCTTTGCTATATTGTGGGTAACATGTCCACAAGTAAGTGAGGCGAACAGCAGCAGCAACAAAAAAACTTCAATCAAGGATATTTTTCCTTCCATCTGTTGGTGGCGGGGTAGCAATGCTAGAATGTAATTCGTATGGGTCCTTTTTTTATTTTGAATTTATTGGGACAAAGTAATGTTGAAGTTGGTCGGTCGTATGTTACAACCATTATCACCCATCCCCACCGTCACCTTCACCACCCTCCATGGATGTTCCATTGTTGTCCGGGTGTCATGTCAATGTGTTATCAAGTCATCGAACCGAAAGCTCACAAAACAAATGGTTGAGAGTAAGAATCCTTGTTCGCTTCGTTAGTGGGACATTGTGCATGGTTATGGACATGGACATTGTTGTCGGTGTTGTTGTTGGTGTTCCTGTTACTTTGATTTTATTACAACAATGTACGTATTGCGAAGGACGGCATACATACGATATTTCGTATAGGTTTTTATGGTTGTAGTACTTGAAAGGTATTGACAGCTTAGTCTTGTTGATTATATGTGAATGATATTTTTTGAGCATAAATAAAAGTAATGAGAGGCGGGAGGGGGGATTTTTTGACAGAGGACATAATAAAATTATAAATAACAAAAAAATGTTTCCTTAGATACAAGACTTTCTACAGACAAAAGTCCTTCTGAAAGTCTTCTATATTTTAAGGACTTCTTAATTTTTTTTTAACTCCTATAAATTTTTTTATATATATGGAAACTCCTTTAGAGATCATCTATAAAAAATACAGGGTGAGATAAAAATACTGCAACAAGGTCAAATGCCATAATTTTGATATTTTTTTTTGTTTTATTGAATGAAAGCCAAAATGTCGGAAATAGCATCAAATTTTAGAATAAGTTTAGATTTGTTCGAATTGGTCACCTTTGGCACGAATTATGGCCTTCAAACGACCAATGAAACCGTCACACGCTGCCGTATGTTGCTCTGCGGTATTTTGGCCAATTCCCGGCGAAGAGCTTGCTTGAGGTGATCGACACTTTGGTATTTTTTAGTGCCAACCTTGCTTTCCAAAATACTACAGACACATCGGATTGGTAACCGGAGATTTTGGTGGTCATTGTGCGCTGGAAATGAAGCGAGGAACCTCATTATTTAACCATTCTTGGGTGGCGCGTGCTGAGTGCGATAGTGCTGAGTCCCGTTGGAACGTTCAAGGTCTGCGGCCAAAATGTTTGCGTGCCCAAGGCTTTAATACACCCTCAAGAATATTTTCCCGACAATATTCGGCATTTATTCTGATGCCATGGTCGATTAATATGTCTTTTTGAGACCTTAAATGTCATCTATCCATAGAATACACTTACATGTGTTCTGCAAATATAAGAAACCTTCTTCTTCTTCTTCGGAGAGAAGTTACGTTTGCACATTAATTGGATAGAACAAATTTTGGTCAACTACGGCTGCAGGTCTTCTATTGAGAGAAGTCTTTTTTGTGTACGAAAACAACAAGAACAAGAGTAGGCACACTACCACTTGCTTCGTTGGAAGAGATTCTCGACGATGCAGCCTTGGTTTGAAAAAATACACATATTTACAAATGTATCAGAGGTACGAATCAGCTCGATTTTGAGTGAATACTATTTCCACTCGAAAACGAACCAAGCATACTCGCTCTTATTCGAGTGGCATAGAAAAAATAGGGTGTTCTCTTTTCAGCCGCTGGGATACTTCTCCGAATTCGAGAAAAGAATGATCGGGACTTGGTTATATGTCATTTGATAGGCTCGAATCAACTGTTTGGACAGCTTGTTTTTTTTTAATCAAATTCGAAAAAAGGCACATCGTAATTTATACATAAAAGAGTAGTGAAATTACTGCCTTCTCGAGGGTCTGTCTTTGTGCGAAGGCATATTGACAAGGATGGATTTTTACAAATTCGTACTAAAAGGGTACAAAAAGTAACAAAATGTACTTAAAATGTAATACTTTGCATTGCAAAGAGAGTCACTGATCGAGTGCAGGATAGTTTAAAATGGTACGAAAAAGTAAAAAATGGTACTAAATTTCTAATATGATACCATTTAGTACCATTTGGTATGAGAATTGGTATTGGAAATGTATACCAAGTATGCGAACTGTACTAAATAGTACTATATTTGGAAAAGTTTGGTTTAGGGTAAACGGATGAAGCTGCAATTTTGAAGGTTAGAGGTAGTCTTGTGGTAAAGAGGATCTTTGAAAATGCGTACTAAAAGTGCGCGAAAATTACTAATTAGTGCTACACTACAGATAGTGTTTGAAATTTGGTATTAGGATCGTTTTTCATGTGTAGCCTGTACGAAAATTACTGAATGGCCCTATATTTCGTATTGGGTAAAGGGATGGAAATAAAATTGAAATTTGATTTACAGATTACTGATGGTATCTGTGTTTGAGATTTGGCGGTGGTTCGGAAATGGGTTCTATATTTGTACTAAAAGTAAAATATGGTACGGTGAAGAGTTGAAGCTGGGTCCAAAAATTTGATATTGAGGTAACTGTCGGTACATGGGATTGAGATATGGAGGTTTTTTTTGGAAATGTGTGCTATAATTTTACGAGAAGTGTTAAATTGTACTAAATTTGGTATTAGTATTGGGTATAGTACTCAATAGTAGGAAATTTGGCTTTGGGCGAGGGGATAGAGCTGGAACGCCGAAATCTGATATTGAGGTCTCTGTTGGTATCTGGAATTGAGGTATGGAGGTTGTTTTTGGAAATGTGTACTATAATCGTACGAAAAGTACTAAATATGATTAAATTTGGTATATGGTGAAAATTGGAAATGCTAAAATTTGATATAGTTGCTGTTTCTGGTTGTGGTTAAGATAAGAAGGTGGTTTTGTACATGCGTACCATAATTGTTCGAAAAGTACTTAATGGTACGAAAATTGGTTTTTGGTGATGGAATAGAGCTGGAACCCTGAAATTTAATATTAATGTCACTGTTGGTGCCTGTGGTTGAGGGAAAGGAGCTGGTTTTGGATATGTGTACTATAATTGTACTGTAATGTACACAATTTATTAATTGGGAATATTAAAAAGCTAAATTATTTAATGGGGGAAATTACAGAGTTAATATTTGGCATTTAGATCACTGTAAATATTCTCCTATTATTCTTTCCAAAAAAATAAATTTGGTACGAAGTGTGAAGTTTTGAACAAAAAAAAATTGTATCAATCTATTCTATACCACCAGAAGATAACTAAGGAATACCTTAAACAAGACTTATGTCCATTGAAGGTTTATGGAAATTATCCATTCTTGCAAATTCTGTAAACTAATATATTTAGCAGAGAGTTTTATGTTAACTATTAAACAACATGATGCGAAGCTATTCACCACTAGATGGCGCTCTTGCATTATTATTACATTCATTCTATATGTTCTTAACAACCCAGGAAACAAAAAGGGCTTAAAGTGATATTTACCTTGTCAAATTTCACTACATAAAAAACTGGTTCCCATCTCTGATTTCTGTATATACTATGGATTTGTAAATATAAATTTTGACAGCGAAATGTTGTGAAATGAATAATTTTGAAAAAAAAATTGAACATATGACTGAATTAATTTACCCTCTGATGTTATATCTCCCATTCAAAGTGGTATTTCAAAAATTTATATAGCCTTTGTTACTTTCATGCTATGCTGTAGTATATTTGGAAAATATTAGGCAAATCTGTTCAGCAGTTTTTGAGTAAATAAATTACAAACAGACATTCAAACGTACAAACATTTCCCTTTTTTATAGATATTGATAATTATTCAAAATGTTAACCCTTTGTGGGGGAGGTACTTGATGGAGTGGACCGATATTAACAATTTTCGTACCTAACCTAGCACTAATGAAAATATTGGGATTTGCAACAGTTGAGAAAAATGTTAATGATCCTTTCTTATTCTATGAGATAAATTATTTTCTATGCAATTATTGACCTTTTGTGGGGGAGGTACCAGAAGGAGAGGACCGATATTGCCCATCTCCTAACTCGATCTAAGTTTGATAATAATATTATGATGAACCAAGTTTGGACCAGGTCGGATAACCGCTTCGAGAGTTATCGTGAGCATCTGCCAGACAGACAGACGGATGGACATCGCTACTATCGACTCCAAATGGCGTCAAACGGATTTGGTCCAAAGAGACCTAAGGTCTAAGCCAGTTATTTCGATGAGCCACGTTTTGACCGTATCAAGTGATATATGTATACCCTCTCTAGCCATATGATTGAGGGTATAAAATCCTCTGCCAAATTCAATCGATTCAGACTAAGATCTTGCGCTAATATGTTAGTTCCATCCGTTTTTAAATATTATTTGCTCAGAAGCCATACTGGATCATATATTTTTTATGAGAGTTCTGCTAAATATCCATGGTGGTATAGGGTTAAATGTAGTCAGCCCAGTCCGACTGTTGATCTTTCCTACCTGGTCCAAGTTGAAAGATCTACACTTAAGTCGTTTATATTAGATTACTTAATTATCAGATTTTCGTAGCCAGAAAATAAGAACTAATTTCGTGCGATATATCCTTGTTAACCCGATTTTTAATGAGTATATTTGCTGGGTAAAACGGTTATATCTTCATACCCAACATATCCTACCCTATTTCTTACTCAACATCCACCTCCTTACATTCCCAACGGCTGTTAACGTCATTTCACCACTCCCGTGTTGCCATATTTCAATTACATAAATAACCCAGGGTCTTGTCTTTGCTATACATTCAGCTTTTATTTTTGTTTTCACTTTTCGCCAATAGATGGCATCGGTCGGTGAGTAACTGTAAATTAGCAGAAATATTTTTATTATCTTACAAAATCATGTTAACCTAACAGAGATATCAAAATACAAACTAAACTTAGAATTCTACTGCCTAATGATAACGGTGGGGATGAACTCGATGATTGTGATGCGGTTGATGACGGTTGAGACGATGATGATCGAAATGCTCATCGGAACTTATTTCGGTTTCCTCACAATGTTTGGAGTGTTTGCGTGAGTGACTGTGTGAACGTAGGCGTCCATGAGTGTGAGTGTGATGGCTGCTGCTGAGATGGGGTGGTTCCAATGATGTTGTTGTCGGGTGTGCTGGTGCTAGTCCTCCACTATCATAACGTGGTGGACGACAATGACTTGAGGGCGGCACCGGATCATCGAATCGGGGACAGGGGTGATCCCCGATGGGGGAGGCTGTTTCATAGCGTTTCGAAAGCATAGTGAATTCTTGATGGGCGGAGCACAAGGCCTGCAAGCGCTGTAGCAAATCCGTTTCGGGTAAATCGCGCAAATGCAGCGTGCGGGCCACAGATGTGCGGAAATTTTGTAAATGCGACAGGCGATGATTGGCATCGGTCAGTTGGCTTTGGACATGTTCCAAGTCGTCGCGGAGTGACTTGAAATATAGAAAAATTTAATAAAAATCCATTTAAAGAGGTCTTAACCAAAACTTACATTTATCAAGGTCTCATCCCGACAGCGTCTATTTCGATTCGACTCCTCCATGGATTCCAGACGTTCCTTCAGCGAACTCACTTGAGCCATGAGTCGAGTTTTCTCCTCCTCCAAATCACACAATTGATTGGTGAGATCATCGATTTTTCGAGCCCTCTCCAGAGCAGTGATTTTGTACTCAGCCGCCTCGGCCAGCTGGGCCTTCGCTTCAGCTATCTGGGTGCGAGCATCTGCCAGCTGGGCTGTAAGTTTATCCACAGCTTTGCTGGCCTTTTTGGCACGACACACAGCCTCATCCCGCTCGCCCTGCAAAACACATTTACCCCGAGCCCCATCTTCAATAATAGCCAGCTTACGTTTGAGTAATTCCAAATGTAAATCGCGTCTCTGTACCTGTTCCTTGAGGACACGTACCTTACGTTGCAGATTATAGAGGGTGCTGGTTGTTTCCTTCAGCGGGATATCGTGGCAGGAACGTTCTCGGCGTAATTTGGTTGTGGCATGGACATGGTGATGGTGGTCACAGCAACCCTGGATAAAGAGGGGAGAATGGTAAATGGTTGAAGCAAAACTTAATTCTTGAAAAAATGCCAAACTTCTGAAAATAAAATCGAAATAAATCCTGCTCCGATCTGTTCTCTTTAAGAAGGATCTTGGCTTAATCTGAAAAACTTGGACACCTTACCTTATCAGCACTCCTTATGTGCGGCAAATGATGATGCTGGTGATGATTGTGTCCATGGTCCACCAAATGATGATGATCGGCAGCCAAACGTTCCGCCCTCTCCAACAGACTCTCAGCCATAATATTTGTATCGGTACCCAGGGCTGGTGGTGTGGAACATTCACCAAAATGAAAAGCTTTTGCCAAGCGTTGCAAGAATTCCGACAATCCCAAGTGGTCATTACGCAAGCTATGTATCTCGGCATGACATTTTTCCAAACGCTCTTCAAGTTCACATTTCTGAGCCTCTTCGTTACGCAACCGGCACTGAGTTGTCTCCTGGGTTTCCTTCAATTTGCTGTGTTCGCAGGAGATTTGCTCGCGGAGAGAGTGGATTTGCTACAGGAGAGAAAAAAATATATAAGGGATAAGAGAGGTATCTTTCGGAGTTCTTCTATGATCTTCTATGGTTAGAAGAGCTTCTGTTGATCTTCTATGGCTAGAAGTTCTTCAGTAGAAATTCTATGGCTAGAAGATCTTCAGCAGATCTTCTATGACTAGAAGTGCTCAGGTAGCTCTTCAATGGTTAGGGGAGTTTCAGTAGCTCTTCAATATTTAGAAGAGATTCAGTAGTCCTTTAATGGTTAAAAAGTTTCTTTTATGACCAGACGGGCTTCAGCAGCTTTTCTATGGCTAGAAGAGCTACTTCAGTAGATCTTCTATGGCTAGAAGACCTTCAGCAGATCTTCTATGACTAGAAGACATTCAGTAGCTCTTTTAAAGCTAGAAGACCTTCAGTAGATCTTCTATGGCTTGAAGTGCTCAGGTAGCTCTTCAATGGTTAGGGGAGTTTCAGTAGCTCTTCAATGTTTAGAAGAGGGTCAGTAGTCCTTTAATGATTAAAAGAGTTTCTTCTATGACCAGACGGGCTTCAGCAGCTTTTCTATGGCTAGAAGAGCTACTGTAGAATAGCCTCAGCAGCTCTTATATGGTTGGAAGAGCTCCAGCAACTCTTCTATGGCCAAAACAGCTTCAGCAGTTCTTCTTTAGCTAGAGGAGCCCTAGTAGCTCTTATATGACCGGAAGAGCTTCAGCAGTTCTGAAATGCCCAGAAGAGCTTCAGCAGTTCTGAAATGCCCAGAAGAGCTTCAGCAGTTCTGAAATGCCCAGAAGAGCTTCAGCAGCTCTGCAATGACCAGAAGAGCTTCAGCGGCTCTTCTTTGGCCAGAAGAGCTTCAGCAGCTCTTCTATGGCCAGAAGAGCTTCAGCAGTTCTGAAATGCCCAGAAGAGCTTCAGCAGTTCTGAAATGCCCAGAAGAGCTTCAGCAGCTCTGCAATGACCAGAAGAGCTTCAGCAGCTATTCTATGGCCAGAAAGGTTTCAGCAGCTCTTCTTTGGCCAGAAGAGCTTCAGCAGCTCTTCTATAACCAGAAGTGCTTCAGCAGCTCTTCTATAACCAGAAGAGCTTCAGTGGGTCTTTTCTGGCTAGAAGAGCTTCAGTAGCTCTTCTTTGGCTCAAAGAGCTTCAGTAGCTCTTCTATGGCTTCAGTAGCTATTCTATGGCTAGAAGAGCTTCAGTAGCTCTTATCTGAGTAGAAGAGCTTCAGTAGCTCTTATCTGAGTAGAAGAGCTTCAGTTGCTCTTCTATGGATAGAGGAGCCCTAGTAGCTTTTATATGGCTAGAGGAGCCCTAGTAGCTCCTGTATGACCAGAAGAGCTTTAGCAGCTCTGCAATGACCAGAGGAGCTTCAGTAGCTCTGCAATGACCAGAGGAGCTTCAGCAGCTCTTCTATGATCGGAGAAGCTTCAGCAGCTCTTCTATGACCAGAGGAGCTTCAAAAGGTCTTCTATGATCAGAGAAGCTTCAGCAGCTCTTCTATGACCAGAAGAGCTTCAGCAGCTCTTCTATAACCAGAAGTGCTTCAGCAGCTCTTCTATAACCAGAAGAGCTTCAGTAGCTCTTCTATAACCAGAAGAGCTTCAGCAGCTCTTTTGTGACCCGAAGAGTTGTAGCAGCTCTTCTATAACCTGAAAAGTTTTGGGAGTTCTTCTGTGACCTGATGAACTTTAGCAGCTCGTCTGCTGTAGATTGAAAATCATAAAAAAATCTTCTTAAAGAAGAATTTTTGAATATTTGACAAAATCCTCGTCCTTTTCTCACCGAATGCATGGCCTTATTGTCATTCAAAATTTCCCTCGTCTTATCCTTTATCAATGTCTCACAAGGCTCTGGAATATTCAAAGTATTTGCCAAAGATCGCAAGAACGAAAGACGATCACTTTGAACACGATCCAAATTACTTTGCAGGCGATGGCAACGCGACTCAAAACCTCTCAACTCCTCCTTTAATTTTTCAGCATTAATTTCCGATTCTGTTAGACGATCACGATTCAAATGCAAGTCTCTCTCGTATTGGCGACAACGTGACTCCAATTCATGTTCATGATTGGTGGTACTATCCAGCTGAGCCGTTAAACGTTGTTTTTCAATATTCGATAGCGATTTTAGATTCGACAACTCATTTTCACAGCTGCTCAAAGTGTCACAAGTTGATGCCAGTTTCGCTTTGGTCCTTTGCAGTTCAGTCATCAGCTCCTCTCCACGGGCAATAACGCAATCCGTTGTCAGCGTGGCACTATCGCATGCTTCCATGCCCAAACAAATACTGAGACGTTTCAGAAAATCGCATAGCTGGTTGCGAGCCTGCTCCTTTTGGGCTTCCTCATTGGCCAAATGGGTTTCCAAATGTTGAATTTTGGAAAGTAATTCCTTGCAGCGTTCATCGGCGGATCGTTTTTCACGTTGTATGGTCTGTATTGTGGAATCGCAGCGTTGCTGTACAGATTCTTCTCGATTTTCCGCGGCATGCAGCCGACTTTGTAGTGAAGAAATGAGGGCAGTTTGTCGCGCCGCCTGAGCTCGCAGATTTTCTACCTCCGATTCACGACTGCACAGTGAAGCTTTGGTCTCGGAAAGCTAAAATGTCATAGGGAGAGAATTAGGAAATTATATTTTGGAGAAGAGTATAAACTTACCTCTGATGACAGTCTCTCCTTTTTGTATGACAAGGCTGCTATTTCACTGCGCAGTGTGGTAACCAAGTCAATGTTGTGATGATGATCCGTAGCATTTCCACAGCTGTTGTCAAGCTAAAGAGGAATAGAATATAAGAGATAAAAGAAGAGTAAAAATTTATTTTACAATTTTAAAAAAAGACTAATATTCGCGCACTCTTTTAAGAATACTTTCAAGAAGTGAATACTTAAGAACAAGAGAATTTTTAAAAATACTACGTTTTTGTATATTTTCTAGAAAGAAATTCGTTGATATTGAATTCGTTATTTTTTAATATTTTTGAAAAAATATAAATATTTTTAAAAAATATTTATTCTTGGATTTTTATTCACATTTTCCCTGACATATTCGATTATTTTTTCAAAAATAGATTTGCAGATTTTTAGGTAAAGCATTTATGGATTTATTTAAATATATTTTTGAAGATATTTTATGATATTTTTAGGGATTTTCACGAATAGTGTTTGGCTTGCTTGTTTGGGATACCATAGTATTTTGTTGTTGCAAAATCGTCAGGCAAAATCCCATTATTGTTGTTTTTATAAAAACAACGTTTGTTTATGAGTGGAGAACGATGGTAATGTTTACCAGGGGGTAAGGCAGGGAATACCTAGGTTTCGGAAAGAGCCACCAATCCTCATCAGTTCCCTTGTTTCTTGTCTGGGATAGGTATTCCCTGCCTTACCCCCTGGTAAACATTACCATCGTTCTCCACTCATAAACAAACGTTGTTTTTATAAAAACAACAATAATGGGATTTTGCCTGACGATTTTGCAACAACAAAAAAAAAAAAAAAGATTTTCACGAATTTTTAAAAAATGTGTCTGCGACTGTTTTTTTTTTTTAATAGTTTTTAAAGAACGATTCATAGCTTCTTGAAATAATTTTTGGGGACAGATTCATGGATTTGTATTAGCATATCCATTTCGTGAACACTTATTAATCAATTCGGAGCACAATTTTTATTATTATATTTTCAGAATGAATTTTCTAAAAAAAGTTTTACAAATAAAATTTTTTGTAAAGGAATGTTGAAAGTAGAATGATGTTTTTTTAAGAATTTTAAGAATAATCCTACATATGCCATTTATGAATATTTAATTGATAATTATTAATAATATTTTTTTCTAATATCATATTTTTAAGAACTTTTTTGCGTTTTTTTTTTCAAATTTATTTTAACCATCGATTATTGGCTTTTTGTATCCTCAGCCATATGGCTTCAGAGGGAATATATCAATTGATGCGTCCAAAACGCGTCTCATCGAAATAACGGTTTTAGATCCTATGTCCCTTTAGACCAAATCCGATTCAAGACCAAATCCGATCCCTCCTTCCGCTTGTCTGTCTAGCTGGTAGAAGGTTGTATCTGATATGGCGTAAACTTGGTATTTGGTACAAAAATAAGTCGAGTTCGTAGATGGAGATGGTAGATGATATTTCTACAAATACAAAATTTGCTATTTGATTGGATATATCGTCTCACTCCTTCTGTTACTTCCCCCATAAAGAGGTCAAGAAATTAAAAAAAAACAAGCTGAAGTTCATAAAACCTGAAGTGAGCATCCGATTATTTTCTAACCCAACACGGCCAAATATTTCTATCAACACAATATCAGGTGTGAAGATGGCAGATATCGATTCACTTCTTCTGGTACCTCCACCCACATAGTTTCACAACATTCAATACTCAGCAGTTCTTTTCAAACTTGGTATAACTATATCATTCTCAGAAGATATGTGAATATGATATTTATTATTTTTGGAAAAATTTTACTCAGATGTGTTTTAGGTCTGACTGCAGGACTTTTGGTATTGAAAATGGGCTATATATGTCCACGTTGTGGTTTAGACCCCATATAACTGTACATCCAGATATTCGGCATTTTGATGATTTGTGTTACATTTCTCTCCGGAATTGTTTCAAATTTGGTACTTGGATTTCGTAATAGGGACTATCACTTATGACAGAATCTACAATATTCGTATCGCTCACATATAACTGCAGCTCCCTTTATTCGGTATTTTGACTATTTTTGTCACACTTTTCACCAGAATTATTTCAAATTCGGAATTTAAAGTTCGCAACGGGCACTGCTTCCTACGACAGAAAATTGTCACGCATAAAACGGTACCTTCCAATACCGTACCTTCGTTATTTTGACAATTTTAACCACATTTTTCAGCCTAATTAACTTAAACTTAAGTTCGTAATAGGCACCACCTTCTCTGGCTGATAAATTACCGTAAAGTACCACGTTTTTTATATCCCCATAAAAGCGCAACACCTGATATTTACAATTTTTAAAATTACAGAGGCGTTCTCCAACGGAATCTTTTTAACATTTTGAATGTTCCTTTTCAATGATGAGGGGTATTGAAAGTTCGACCCGACCGAAGTAACGAGCTTTTTACTTTTTTCGGCTTACCTCTAGTTTAGTAAAATATAACAGATTTTTTTTAATTTCTTCCTGAGGTAAGTTTTTGTAACCTGATTTTTTAAAAAATCCTTTAAAAGTTGAAAAAGGTCCCATGTTTGGAGTCCATGAAATATATGCAAGACTATTGTTGACACTACAAATTTTCCAAAATGGCAAAATATGTGTTATTATATTTCTTGGATTGAGAGATAATGGTCTTTGAACACGGACGAGGAAAATCTCAAGCCCCGACCGAAGGAAGCCTGCTTTAAAAAAGAATCAAATTTAGGAAAAACTTTGGTTCGATGTAGAATCGGGTTGTCCGGTCTCGGGTTGGATACAAGAATGATAATAGCAAATTTTGTAGCTAGGTTAGAGTGTAAGCTATAATTTAGTGCGTATTTTTTGGACTACCAAAATGGACCCTATTTTGACTTTTTGGGGGTTTCATAAAATTTCGGATTGTTTTGAATAACCCCTTAATTTGTATACGTCTTGTATATGTATTTTTAGTAGTTTGTTCATATTGGCTTAGTAGATCCGGATCTAATCCGGGTCTCGGACTCGGACTCTTAGGTCAAATATACGGGAAACCGGGTGCGTCCCCCATAAAAAATAATTATCCGTAGGGAAGCACTCGATATAGTCCAAACCTGGCACGTCGCAATATTTTTATCATATTTATTTAGGTCCGATATCAAATGGACAATATTACTCCATTCCTTCGGAACGTGCTCCATAGAGGGTGAACAATTTTAATAATCGTTGCTGAAGTCAAAATATATATAAATAATCGATCATTGGCTGAGGGTATACATCTGTCTGCAAAACCGACTGATACTTTAAACATGTTTAAATACAACTCATTTATTAAATTTTTTCGGAACAATTTTTTGTGTATTTTTGTTTTTAAATCAACACATTTATGTTCATGGATTTCTAAGAATATTTTCAGGGACGAACAAACATATATTCGTAAGAATAATTTGTTAAAGAACAAACAGAGCATTTTTGCAGATTTTATTTTTAAGAATATTTTTTTTTAGGAAATAATTGTCGATTTAATGAATGTTTTTCAGGAAGTAATCTTTAACATTTTTAGGAAAAGTTTTCGGAAATTTAAAGGTCCTAGAGGAAGATTATTTTCTCATAATTCCCTAATAATGAATGAAAAACATGAAAATTGAAACACAGGGTCTGACCTAAATAGCCTTTAGCTGAAAAACGCCAAAATTGCAATCATTTTCACGAACAATTTTTGGGTTCCTTTAGAATATTTGGAATATTCTGGAAATATTCTTGAATTTTTTTTTTTTGGAATTTTTTTTCAATAACTCTAGTTAGTTTTATGATAAATTTTTCTAAAGGATTTAGCTGAAAAATTCCAAAATTACGAACATTTTCATGAACAATTTTTGGGTTCCTTTAGAATATTTTTTCCGGAAATTTTTTTGAATATTATTTTTTTTTCGGAATTTTATTTTTTTTTTTTCAAAAACTCTTGTTAGTTTTATGATAAATTTTTCTAAAGGGTTTAGCTGAAAAATTCCAAAATTACGAACATTTTCACGAACAATTTTTGGGTTCCTTTAGAATATTTTTTCTGGAAATATTCTTGAATTTTAATTTTTTGGAATTTTTTTTCAATAACTCTCGTTAGTTTTATGATAAATTTTTCTAAAGGCTTTAGCTGAAAAACGCCAAAATTGCAAACATTTTCACGAACAATTTTTGGATTCCTTTAGAATATTTTTTCTGGAAATATTCTTGAATTTTAATTTTTGTCGGAATTTTTTTTCAATAACTCTCGTTAGTTTTATGGTAAATTTTTCTAAAGGATTTAGCTGAAAAATTCCAAAATTACCAACATTTTAATGAACAATTTTTGGGTTTCTTTAGAATATATTTTCTGGAAATATTCTTGAATTTTAATTTTTTTGGAATTTTATTTTTTTTTTTTTTCAAAAACTCTCGTTATAATAAATTTTACTAAAGGCTTCAGCTGAAAAATTCCAAAATTACGAACATTTTCATGAACAATTTTTAGTTAATACATTTTGAGAATATTTTTTTTCAAAAAAATAACCACTCTGTTTTACGGCACTTTTTTGGAAATAATGAATATTTTCTAAAAAATGTTTTTTTTTTTCGGTTAAGTTCCTTTATTTTATTAGCAATATTTTTAGGGAAAAAATAACAAAATTTGCTTTTTTCTGGGAAAAATATATGATTTTTTTTTTTTAAGATTATCATTTCGGGAAATATTCAGAGATATTTTTTAATAGCATCTTGACGAGATAGTAATTGTCACAATGTATTTCCACTTGTTTTTTTTTTGTGTACAAACTTTACCAAATGATGGTGATGATGATGCGGTGATAATCCACTGATATCCACATGATGATGATGCAGATGATGATTGTGGTCGTTATCCAAAGGCATTTTGAAGAGATTTTTTATTCAGTCACTTTGTTAACCAAACCGCCCGCAAAACGATTTTCCGTTTCAATTCCAGCGAAATTACGAAAGCGAAATTTAATTATCGTCCAAGGGGTTTGCCTAATCCTTTGATGGTCATAAACGAAATTACACCGAAGAGGCCGAGGCTTGGCACAAATAACTACAAATTAAATCAGACACTAAGCGAACGACTACGACTGCGACCAGCCATCGATGATAGTTTGTTGGGAACTATGGTAGTGTGGAAAATTGCATAGAGTTATGGAAATATCCTGCAAAGGCCTTCTCAGCAACGAAACAAAAATCGGTTGCCAAAGGCATAAAAATCACATAAAATTAACTTTAGGAATTTACAACAACATATCAAGCACACAATTATGTTGTTGTTGTCGTTGTTGGCAATGTGAATCCTTGTTTTCCATGTTATAGTGTTGTTGCCTTTGTTATGTGTAAAGTTATGTTGTGTTGGTTCCGTTTCCTTGAATGACAGACAATCGTAAGTCAGTGAAAAAATCACCTCTAGTTTGGAGTAATTTTTCCATTCGTTGGCAAAATATTTAACCAGAAATGAGTAGTGGTGGGGTGGTGCCCTGTCTAAAAATTAAGCTCAATGGCATCGCTTCGTTTTTTGTTGGTTTTTTGTCTGTTTTGTTTATTACTTCAACAATTATTTGGGTCATTCACTCGATAGCAACGCCAAGGAGGAGGCAAAAATCAACAACTGGTGAAAATAGCGCCAGTGTAAAAAAAGGATACAACAATGAAGAATGGCGGAACATGCAAAGCAAAGCCAAGTTTGTTTTTTCTTTCCACTGAAATTTGATAAATGTACAAACAATTGCCAGAGCATAAATAAAGTTATGTTGATTGTGCCGGGATAAGAGTTAGAGAATTTCTGGTTAAACGGTGAAGTATTTAGTTTGTGGTTAGGGAACTCAGACGTTCTGCTTTGGATCGCCATAATGGATGAATATTAATGCAATTTTTGGTAACAATATTTCATGTATACGAAATGGAGCATAATTGGGGTGCTCATTTAGAGTTCATAAAGTACAAATAAACAAAGGATTTAGTTCGACTGGGTCGAACTTTTGGTACCCTTACAAAAACCAATTTGAAAATGGTAACACTGACATTTTTACGCGAACGAGTTCCCCTTACTTATATTGGGATTTTACGAGGAGTGGACCTACATTTATGAAGATATGGCAAATTAAAGGTCTTATCCTGGTAAATTCTGGTTAAGACCTGTAAAAACAAGTTAGAACATATCTGTAGGTTTGTCGACAGATGTTTATCTTCAAGATATGCCGGTATTAATAAAACATTAAAGTAATTGAGTTACTGACTGATTTAACGATTCATCAACGCCCAGACGAAACGACTGAAGCCATAATCTTGAAATGTTGGTGAGGGTCATACTTAGTCCGAGGGCTGGGCTTTCGGAAATTTGTACTAGGACGGTACCAAAATACTAAAAAGATTTTTTACCCTTCGTATTTTCCAAACCATTAGAGCTAGAACTCTTTAAAAGATTGTCATCGATGATGTGTATGATGAATGTACCAAAGGGTTATTTGGAAATTCGCACTCTAAGTGTATGAAAAGTACTAAAATGTACTATATTTACCAAATCGTATCATGTGAACGGATAGAGCTAAAAATTTGAAATTTGGAATTGGAATAAAATTTAATTTGACGGTCGATGAAAGGAGGTAAATTTGAAAATTTATACTTAAAGTACTAAATGGTACAAAATTTGGTATAATTCGACTATGGAGGAGCGGATGGAGCAGGAATTTTGAAATTTGAAATTAACATTACTGGCAGAGTATAGGATTGGGATATGGATGTAGTTTTCGTAATTTGTGCACGAATAGTACTAAATGGTACCAAACATGGAATTCTGAAATTTGGAAGTAAGATTACTATTTCATCATGGAGCTGAGGTTTGTAGGTAGTATTGGAAATTCGTACTTATGTATACTAAATTTGGTACAACTTAAATTTTAGGAAAACCGATAGAGTTGGAATCCTGAAATATGTTTACTATGCATTGTAGGACTCAGGTATATGGGTAGTTTTGGAAATTCGTACTTATGTTTACTAAATTTGGTACACATTGAAAATAAGATTTCTATTGTAAAATTTGGATTTGGGAGTGTGGGATTGGGGTACGTAGGTAGTTATGGAAATTTGTACTTATGTGTACTAAATGGGACTAAATTTGGTACAATTTAAATTCTGAGAGAACCGATAGGGTTGGATCTCTGAAATTTGGAAATAAAATTTCTATTTGATTCTACGATGTAGGTAGTTATGAACATTTGTGGAATTGTGGTGAATCAATAGAGCTGGTATCTTGAAATTTAAAATGAGAGTCGCTGATGGAGTGCTGGATATATGTATATAAAACGAAAAGTTCAAAATTGGTACTAAACTTCTAAATTGGACCATTTAGTATTTGGTAAACGGATAGAGCTAAAAACTTGAAATTTGGTATGAAAATCAAAGTTGGAAAATAACTTTGACTTACGATTTGGAACAGTTTGGATTTAGGTAAAAGGATAAAGTTGGTGATAAAGTGGTGGTTTTGGAAATATTTACCACAAGTGCACGAAAAGTACTAAATAGTACTATGTTTGGTACAATTTGGTATTGGGTGAACAGATAGCGCTTAAAATCTTAAAATTCGTATTAGAATCGCTGTTTATGTGTAGCCTGGACATGTGGATGTGGTTTTGGAAATTCGCACTATAAGTGTACGAAAAGTACTGAATGGTACTAAATTTGACATTGGGTGAAGGGATAGAGATAAGATTCTGAAATATGATATTTAGATGGTATCTGTGTTTGAGATTTGGCGGGGGTTTGGAAATGCGAAGTATGGTTGTACGAAAAGTACTAAATGGTTCTAAATTTGGTATTGGGTAGTGTATAGAGCTGGAATTTTCAAATTTAATAATGAGGTCTCTGTTAGTATCTGGAATTGAGATGGAGAAGTGATTTTGGAAATTTGTACTATAATTATACGAAAAGTTTTCAAAGCTACTAAATTTGGTATTGAGTGAAGGAATATGCCTGGAAACCTGAAACATGATACTAAGGCTTTTTGGGTATTTGGGAGTGATATGGAGGTTGTTTTGGAAATGTGTACTATAATTGTACGAAAAGTACTAAAATGTACTAGATTTCGTATTGGGTGACGGAATAGAGCTGGAATCCTGAAATTTCTTGTGGATGTCACTGTTGGTGTCTATAGTTGAGAGAAGGAGCTGATTGTGGATATGCGTTCTATAATTGTATTAAATTGGGTGAAAGTTTACGGCTGAAATTTAATGTAGATGTCACTGTTGGTACCTGAGATTGAAATATGGAATTGGTTTTGAAAATGCGTACTTTGATTGTACGAAAAGTAATGAAACAATGGAATTTTATAACAATTGGTGTCTAGAATTGAAATATGGAACGATTTTACAATCAGTACTAAAATTATACTAAATGTTACTAAATTTGGTATTGCCTGAATGTAAAGGGCTGGAATCACGAAATTTAGCATTGAGGTCTCTGTCGGTATCTGAAATAGAGATATGGAGTTAGTTTCGGAAATGCGACCTATATTTGTACTAAATGGTACTAAATTTGGTATTGAGTGAAGGGATAAGGCTGGAATCCTAAAATTTGATATTGAGGTGATTTTGGATATGTGGGGGAGATACCAGAAGGAATGGACCGATATATTTCACCTTTACACCAGACCTTGAGATGTGCGAAATTTGGCCAATATAATCAATTTTCGTGCCTGATCTAACACTGACAAAAAAATTGGGATTTGCAAAGTCCTCAAAAAATTGGATGATATTTTCCTGTTCTATAAAGTAAATCATTTTCTGTGGAAATATTGAACTTTTGTGGGGGAGGTACCAGAATGATTGGACTGATATTGCCTTTTTGGGAGTTTGGAACTATTACTCGAATTGAACACAATCTCATCCAATTGGAGTTTTCCATACCTTTGAACATGACCTTAATGCTGCTTCACATATTCATCGGACAAACGACGTTAGGTACCAAACACTTCACCTAACTGAAGATATCGCCTGGCAATGTAGTTTTGCAAATTTACCAATTTTGTTTGTCCGTTAGTTGTTACCTTTGTTGCTTAGTTGTTGTTGATAAGCAACAAATTGCTTACAAATTACAAACAAATAAGGAAGTTCAATAGGCAAATAAAGAAAAAAAGCAAAAGAGAAAACAAAACACACAATGAAATGGAAAACCATTTTCCAAAAACTAACAACAACAAATATACACCCGATAGATGAACATTAAATAACGTGACTCAGAAAATATTTTCCATTTCGCGGAATTTCACAGAAACAAAAACACTATTAAAGAAAATGTGTTTTTATGACGAACATTTTTCTTTTAAGTGATTCACAAGCACCACCCGGCTGGTAGCCTTGAAAGAATTGTTTGAAGAAAAACTTACCGGTGAAACTGTTACCTTGTCAATTGTCGTTGACTGGCGAGGAATGGAGGCCAAGGAACCGCACAGAACTTCAAATATTAACCAATCTTCTTCGGTGTTGCCGGAATGCGAGGACATTGTAATGGAAGGTTAAAAGAAAATTTTAAATTTTTAAAAGAAATTGAGATCTTGCAAATTTGCGCAAAAAATTTTTGTTTTATTTATTCTATGTTTTGCCAATAAATGCCAATAAAGGAATCGATTTGTTATCGGGATTTGTGTGGGGGAAAACATTTTCTAACATAATGGGATATTTGGAAATAACAGAGGGGTGTTACCAAGGAAATTGTTGTTACTCAACAGGCGTCTGGAGTTAGTGTTTTATGAACAGTTTGAAAAGTTTCAATATTCAATAAAATATTCTTTAAAAAATCCACACTTATTGGTCTGAAGGTCCTTGAAAAAATATATTCTTTAAAACATCCACACTTATTGGTCTGAAGGTCCTTAAAAAAATATTCTTTAAAAAATCCCCGTTTAAAAAAACTATTCTTTAAAAAAATCCACATTTATTGATCCTTGAAAAAATATTCTTAAAAAAATCCACGTTTGTTGGTCTGAAAATCCTTGAAAATATATTCTTTAAAAAATCCACGTTTATTGGTTTGAAGGTCCCTAAAAAATATTTTTTAAAAAATCCACGTTTATTGGTTTGAAGGTCCCTAAAAAATATTTTTTAAAAAATCCACGTTTATTGGTTTGAAGGTCCCTAAAAAAATATTTTTTAAAAAATCCACGTTTATTGGTTTGAAGGTCCCTAAAAAATATTTTTTAAAAAATCCACGTTTATTGGTTTGAAGGTCCCTAAAAAAATATTTTTTAAAAAATCCACGTTTATTGGTTTGAAGGTCCCTAAAAAAATATTTTTTAAAAAATCCACGTTTATTGGTTTGAAGGGCCCGTAAAAAAATATTTTTTAAAAAATTCACGTTTATTGGTCTGAAGGTCCTTGAAAAAATATTCTTCAAAAAATCCACGTTCATTGGTCTGAAGGTCCTTGAAAAAATATTCTTTAAAAACCCACGTATATTGGCCCTTGAAAAAATATTCTTTAAAAAATCCACGTTTATTGGGTGTTGAAAAAATATTCTTTAAAAAATCCACGTTTATTGGGTGTTGAAAAAATATTCTTAAAAAATCCACGTTTATTGGGTGTTGAAAAAATATTCTTTAAAAAATCCACGTTTATTGGGTGTTGAAAAAATATTCTTTAAAAAATCCACGTTTATTGGGTGTTGAAAAAATATTCTTAAAAAATCCACGATTATTGCTCTTCGAAAAAATATTCCTTAAAAAATCATCGTTAATTGCTTACCACATTTTGTGGTCCTTGAAAAAATATTCTTTAAAAATCCTCGTTAATTGTTGTGGAGGTCCTTGAAAAAATATGCTTTAAAAAATCCACGTTTATTGGTCCTTGGGAAAAATATTCTTTAAAAATCCACGTTTATTGGTCCTTGGAAAAAGTATTATTTAAAAAATCCACGTTTTTGGTTCTTGGAAAAAATATTCTTATAAAAAATCCACGTTTATTGGTCCTTGGAAAAATATTCTTTAAAAAATCCACATTTATTGGTATGCAGGTCCTTCGAAAGGACTTTAATAATAAAACAAGTAATTCTAGTACTAATTAAACAAAAGTTTATTTAACAAACATATTTATAAAAGACATTTTTTGTTTCTTATTTTTTTTCTTAACTTAAAAAAAAAAAAAACTAAAAACTAGAAATTAAATAAAATATTTGAATGACGTTTTTTTTTTGTAATTTTTCTTAAAACCAACTGCATAAAAGATGAAAAAATCAACTAAAGTAATTTATTTTATAAAAAAAATAAACATTTATTCATAAAAAACACGATCTATAAACAAACATTTAGCCTCTTGAGTGAAAGTATTTACTTGGTCTTTTGCTTCTTGGGCTTGGCGTCGGCGGCAGCAGCGGGTTGGTTTTGTTCGAGCAAGTTGTTGACGTTCTTTTGCAATTCAGCGAAACCAGTTTGGACATTTTCTTGGACCTTGGCGAAACCTTCCTTAACATCCTCCTAAAGGACGCAACGAAAAAGACAAAAGCAAAAATAAATAAATGTCAAAAGATAAAGGGTTAAAACAAGGAAATTACAAGAGTTACCGGGCGGATGCCGTATTTCTTCAAGTTTTCCTACAAAGAAAGAAAAACGAGAGAGAAATACGTTAGTATAAGTGTTTCTTCTACTTATTTTTATTTTAAATAATTTATGTTCAGAAGTCTATACTTACTTCAGTGAAAGCATCAGAGATGTTCTTGGAGAGGGAGTTCTAAAGTCATGAAAAGAAAAAAAAAAAGAAATGGGTTATTAAAAATCAAATTTTAGAATCTGAATAAACATAAACAAGTAGAAGACCTTGGGTAGCTAAAACACCTTCAGAAGGTCTTCTGGCCGTAGAGAAGCTTCAGAAGGTCTTTTAGCCGTAGAGAAGCTTCAGAAGGTCTTTTAGCCGAAGAGAGGCTTCAGAAGGTTTTCTAGCTCTAGAAGAGCTGCAGAAGGTCTTCTAGCCCGAGAAGAGCTGCAGAAGGTCTTCTAGCCCGAGAAGAGCTTCGGAAGGCCTTCTAGCCCGAGAAGAGCTTCGGAAGGCCTTCTATTGATAGAAGAGCTTCACAAGGCCTTCTATTGAGGCTCTTCTAGCTACAGAAAGGCTTCAGAGGCTCTTCTAGCCATAGGAGAGCTTCAGAGGCTCTTCTAGGCATAGAAGAGCTTGAGAGACTCTTCTAGCCATAGAAGAGCTTCAGAGACTCTACTGGCCATAGAAGAGCCTCAGAGGCTATTCTAGCAATAGAAGAGGTTCAGAGGCTCTTCTAGCCATGGATGAGGTTCAGAGGCTATTCTAGCCATAGAAGAGCTTCAGAGGCTATTCTAGCCATAGAAGAGCTTCAGAGGCTCTTCTAGCCATAGAAGAGCTTCAGAGGCTCTTCTAGCCCTAGAAGAGCTTCGGAGGCTCTTCTAGCCCTGGAAGAGCTTCAGAGGCTCTTCTAGCCATGGAAGAGCTTCAGAGGCTCTTCTAGCCATGGAAGAGCTTCAGAGGCTCTTCTTCGCATAGAAGAGATTCTGAGGCCTTTTAGCAATAGAAGAGCTTCTAAAGGCCTTCTAACCATAGAAGAGCTTCTGAAGGCCATCTAGCCATAGAAGAGCTTCTGAAGGTCTTCTGGTCATAGAAGAGCTTCTGAGGGCCATCTAGCCTTCTATATGTAGAAGAGCTTCTAAGGATCCTCTATTCATAGAATAACTTCTAAGGATCTTCTATTCTTAGAAGAGCTTCCAAGGCTCTTCCATTCATAGAAGACCTTCTTAATGTCTAGAAGGTCCTAGGAAACTCTTATATGGTTAGAAGAACACCTAAAGCCCTTTTATTGAAGGATTGAAGACCGTATACGCTCTTCTAGAATTGGAAAGTCTAGAAAGATGTCAGTTTTAAAAAAATAGGAAAAATAGTTTTTTTCTTTTTTTATTCAAAATTTATTTTGTTTTTGTTACTGTATTTATTGTTTTTTTTTTTTTTCAAAATTGTTAAAATTGTTTTTTTTTTTCATTTTGTTTAAAAATTATTGAAATTAATTATTTTAATTTTTTTTCATTTATTTTTGTAATATTCGGATTTTTTTTATTTCTATTTCCAAATTGTAAATTTGAATTTTTAAATTTTATTTTTAATTAAAAGTTTTTAATTTTTATTTTCATAATTTTTATTTTATATCTTTCTCACTGACTCCATTCTATATTTGCTTTTTAAAATCTATTATTTTCTAATTTAAATTTTTTCTGACATTAACTTACCCAGAATTCAGGCTTGGTGAAAGCTTCGAAGATGTTTGCGGGCAGAGCTGGTTCGGCACCGGTGTTGCGTGGCAAGCGGGCCATCTCAGCTTGCTAAAATTACAAAAGAAATTCCCATTATCCACTGTTTCAATTCCACATTTTCATTTTCACTTTATGAGTAGCACAGTTATCCTGGCAGGACATTTTCACTTTTCCATTTTTCACTTCACTTTTATTTCAAAACATACCTGCATGTAGCAGAAGATAGCTACAGCTACGAAAACGTATTTCAAGGCACCGGCCATTTTTTTCTTTCGAGTTTAGTTAAGGTCTGAAGAGGAATTAACTCTGAGTGCTTAAAATTTTGACACTGACTTTTATTTCAAAATTTTTGTCAAAAAAAAAACCACTCACAACCATTGGAAATGCAGATTTTATGATTCAATCATGGGGTCGTTCTTATCACCAAATATGTTTTGGAAAAAAAAAATAGACAACGAAATCCGCGGCATAACTATTCAGTTTTTTCGATTTTCTTTTCAAATATGTTTGAGTGTGAGTTTGAGACTATCCCATTGATAACTTCTTGAACTATGAATACGATTTGGGTGATAATTTTGGAATAAGTTGTATTCTTGAGTGCGCCCCTAAACTAAGTTGTGACAACATTTACGATATCGTTGCTGCTTCGGCCATTATTGGTTCTGCCGGCTGCCATAGGCAGAGATTAATCTAAGCATTTTTTTAATAGTTGGGCTTAAGTAAACATTAGTATTTGCTTTGAAAATAACAAAACATTTCTGTAATGAGTATTTATTTAAGGTATAGTTGTGTATTGCATCTATGCATTTTAAATTATTTGTCAATGTATGGGTATTTCCATGTTTTCTTTATAAAACCACCACAAGGTGGTCAGGGTATTATGTCTTTGTGCATTTGTTTGTAACAGGCAAAAGGAAACGAGATAGACCCATAGTTCCTTTTGATGATCTGCATAGAATCACATTCTGAGTCGATTTATGCATGTCCGTCCGTCTATGTATTTTTGTGAACAAAGTACAGTTCGAATTTATTACCCGATCCAGATGAAATTTTGCACAAATCATTTGTTCGGCTCATGGACGAACCCTATTGAAATTGGAGATAATCGGTAGAAATTTAGATATAGCTCCCATATATATCTTCGTCCGATTTGCTTTTTATTGTGCACCAAACATGTAATATCAGTCCGAGTTGTATGGAATTTTGCACATACAACCAAATCAGGCCTGAAAATAAGTATGTCGAATTTGATCGAAATCGGTTCAGATATAGTTATAGCTCCAATATATATTGTTCATCCGATTTGTTATTTTAGTCCTCCGCAGCCGTTATATGCACTCTGCAACAACAATATTTGGGGAAATATATCAAATACAGCTCAGAAATACCTTTGCTGAATTTTATCGAGATCGGTTCAGATTTGGATATAGCTCCCATATATAACTTCGTCCGATTTACCTTTTATTGTGCACCAAACGTCTAATATTTACCCAAGTGGGATGAAATTTGGCACTTACGACCGAATTGAGTCTAGAAGCTAGTATGTCAAATTTGGTGAAGATCGGTTCAGATATAGCTATAGCTCCCATATATATTGTTCATCCGATATTTGTTACCCACAGCCGTAATATGCACTCCGTAACACTCAAATATATGAAATATAGGCCAGAAATATCTTTGCCAAATTTTATCAAGATTGGTTCAGATTTGGATATAGCTCCCATATATATCAAATGTGCAATACATGTCCGAATTTAACAGATACATATGCTGCGGCATATTTAGTCCTTTGAATTTTAAATTATAATTATAATCATAGCGTGTAGGATTGAATTCTCCCATAAAAACTTTTAATTGTTATGTGGAGCTCTATTGAAATATCAAAGTGGTGTAGGGTATTATAAAGTCGGCCCCGCCCGACTTTAAGACTTTCATTACTGGTTTTTATTTTAATTTTTTAAGCTAATAATACCCCAAAATACCAAAAATACAATACAGCTTGAGAACAATATTATAAAAATATAATTTTTCAACAACCAAATTGACTTGAGAATAATATTTTAATAAGCTTTCAAACATAAGCCTTAAGCTTGAGAAAATCTTGAGAATGTATTGAGAAATGCTTGTTTAACAATTATAGAATAATCGAAAGGGAACCCTTATTCATAAGCTTATTCTTGTAATTGCAGAATAAGCTTACGAAAGTAATATTATCTCAAGCTTATTTTTTCAATGGTATAAAATATTTATTTTTTAATTATTTTACACATTTCATTCATTGATCGCCATCCCAGCTGTCGCTGCCTCCTGTTGCATTGATACCTAGATGATTTCTATCCCCTTATTTGAGCTTCCGCATCTCCTCCACTAATTCTTCACTTCTCTTGAATTATTGCAACTTTTTGACGCCTCTATTCTGAAATGAGATTGAAATAATATACACTACAGATTCCCAGATTTATTATTCATCATTACCTTAGAGTTTCGTCCAGAAATGGGTCTTAAATTCGCGTGATTTTGATTTTAACCAAAGAAAATATTTTTTTTGTCGACAATTTTCACAAAAAAAAATCAAAAAAATTTGTCAACAAAGGACAGATTTGAGAAAAGTTTGTGCAAAAAAGTTTTTCTCTAGCATTGTTGAGGAATTCTTACGATAAACTATTTTCATAATATTATTCTCAAGCTGTATTGTATTTTTGGTATGTTGGGTATGTGTGAGTATTTTTGGTTTCAATGTAAATTCCATACATTTTTTGTCTATAAGCATTTTTTTGAAAATTGAACACATATATTGTGTAGAACCCCAAAAGAATATCTAAATTTGAAAATACAATTTTTGTTGAAAAAAATTAAAAATTTAAAATATGGATTTAATACTGAGCCGCACGCACTACTTTAAGCACACACATATACATTAACTATACTGGGTTATTGATAATCAGTGGGGGCTTCAAAAATAGTTCTGCGATTAAAGTTCGTTCACTGGCTCAAACAAAAATCAAGGTTTGGCAATTTAATGCTGCGTACATAAATACACACGAATAAATTTCTTCCGTATATTGTAGACAGTTTGGTATATTTGGGTGGGTTCTTATCGCCAAAAATACAAAAAATAGACATTACAAGCGATTAAGTATTCTATTAAGTCTATTCACAACCCGACAATCGGATGATTTTTTCTCATTATTAAACATAAGTCTCGTGTTTACAAAACATACATATAAAAATAGTGATTATTTAACTTTGACAAAAAAAAAATAAATAAAATAAATAAATAAATATAAGACGAAGCACAAATATGTCCACCCTTTACTAAGAGATCTAAGGTCCTTGAAACACCGTTAGCAAGGCGATATGTGATTAGAATATTTTTATTCCCTCCACAATAGGAAGGACGATATATACAATTTGTCATTAAACCTCAAATATTCGCCGGGAATCCTAAAAAATAAATGTACTTATATATACTCCTCAGTTTACTCAATGATGTCCGTCCCTCGACTTGTCCGTCTGTCTGTTGAAATCAAATATTACTTGAATTTTCGAATTGATTCCATATAATTGTACCTTCCGATATAGCTTCCGAAGATTCTAGTTATATATTCCAAAAATATTTTTATACCCTCCAGCATTCTATGAAGGGTATATTAGCTTTGTGATTCCGTTTGTAACTCCTCGAAATATTCCTAATAGGCCCTACAAAGTGCAAAATACTAAGACGATCAAGCGATCTCCGTCCGTCCGTCAGTCTGTCTGTCCGTCTGTCTTTTGTAATCACGCCATCTTTCAAACGAACTGAGATAGAAGGCTAAAATTTAGCATACATGCATAGTTTAACTGTAAGCAGGTTAAGTTCATAAATGGGGCATGTCTGTTCACGGTTTCGTATAGCCCTCATATGGCGGTACCTCCCGATATTCGATATTTTAATGATTTTAGCGACATTATTCACTGGAACTGTTTCAAATTTCGTACTTAAAGTTCGTAATGGGTACTACAACCAATGTCAAAAATATTTCGTATATCGGTTTTCAGTTAAGTGGTAGTTTTCGGTTTTTTTTTTTTTTTTTTTTTTTTTTGAAAATTTTCAAGTTCCTTTCAAATAGTAGAGGGTATTAAAACTTCTGCCCGGCCGAACTTAGTTTTTTTTTTCTCCACCTTGAAAAGGAGGGTATATTAACTTTGTCATTCCGTTTTTAACATCCCTAAATATTCGTCGTAGACCCCATAATAATCAGCAAAAATTCTACAATTTCTAAAATTCTTTAAGCATGTTCGTCTGTCTGTCTGCCCGTCTTTCTGTCTGTTGAAATCACGATACAGCCCACATTATTTGACGTAGAGCTTCAAAATTAAGCAGAAAAATTTGTAAAATGAGACGTATCGGTTTTTTACTTGTTTTCCTTATCCGAATTTTAGCAATTATAAAATAGGCTCCTGTCTTTATACCTTTAAGTATAAGTATAGTTGCTTTGTTAAATATAATATAATATAAAAATTATAATTTTAAACGCTAAAACGTCTAGATCGTATGTCTATGTGGATCAATTCCTTTTCAGGACATTTGGAGTCGATCTAGGGGTGTTCTTTTGTCTGTCTGTCTGCCTATCTGTCTGGCTTATGCGCACGATAACTCTAGAAGATAATATCCGATTTGATCCAAATTTGATACATCATAATATTATTATCAAACTTACATCGAGTTCAGTTGTGGAAATATCGGTCTATTTCTTCTGGTACCTTCCCCACTAATGGCCAATTTTTTCAGAAAATAATTTATCTTACACAACCAGAAAGGATTATCCAATTTTGCACAAACTTTACAAATCCGAATATGTATGTATATGCATATGAGAATATCGGCACACTCCATCAAGTACTTCCCCTTATAAAGGGTAAAACTTTTGAATAATTGTAACGCAAATCAAAATATATTTAAATAAACCGACCCATATTTTTTAAATAAATAAATGTCGCCTATTTAGTGTAAGTTTTCAAATTTCAATTTTCCCAAAAAAAAAAAGGTAAAGAAAGTCTTTATGATACCCTACACCACTTTGCTATTTTAGTAGAGGGCCACATAACAATTAAAAGTTTTTATGGGAGAATTCAATCATACACGCTATGATTATAATTATAATTTAAAGTTCAAAAGACTAAATATGCCGAAGCATTTGTATCTTTTAAATTCGGACTTATTTATATATATGAGAGCTATATCCAAATTTGAACCGATCTTTATAAAATTTGGTAATGATATTTGTCAGCTGTATTTCATATATTTCCATGAATATCGTTGTTACGGAGTGCATATTATGGCTGTGGGTAACAGATATAACAAATCGGTTGAACAATATATATGGAAGCTATAGCTATATCTGAACCGATCT